TGCTAGGGGCAGCTCTGACACCGGTGTTCATTTTGCAGCAGTTCATCAAGTGGAATGTTAGTGTCGGCACTTTCAGGAATGTTTGTTTGTTATTAATTTAAAAATCATGAGGCCGGGCGCGGTGGCTCATGTCTGTAATCCCAGCAGTTTGGAAGGCTGAGGTGGGTGGATCTCTTGAGGTCAGCAGTTCAAGACCAGCCTGGCCAACATGGTGAAACCCTGTCTTTACGAAAAAAATACGAAAATTAGTTGGGCATGGTGGCGGGTATCTACTGTAGTCCCAGCTACTCGGGAGGCTGAGGCAGGAGAATCACTTGAACCTGGGAGGAGGAGGTTGCAGTGAACTGAGATTGCGCCACTGTACTCCAGCCTGGGTGACAGAGCGAAACTCCTGTCTCAAAAAAAAAAAAAAAAAAAAAAAAAAGTCATACTTCTAAAGGTCAAAGAAATACTGAGCTTTCTGCCTGGGACATAAGTGCTTGATACATGTTAGAGTAGCAGTATCCAGATGGAGTGCTCACCATAGCTCAGATGGGCCAGAATATCTTGCTTAATGCAAGGGTGGCAGGGGAAAGCGCTAACTAATGGAACGTGGTTTCTTCCCATTTAAAACTGCCTTTTTTGGATAAAGGTTCATTCCCTCAGGTCTTCTCCTGCCCTATTCTTCTTCCCTTCACCTCAGGAGGCATCTGAGCAAGGGAGAAGCTGGCAGACATCATGGTGCTGGTGGGCGGGGTGGGAGTTCTGTTCCGCCTGTTCTCTGAGGCTCCTGCCGATGCCGTGGGCACATGGCCCCTCTTGCCTGGCCTTTGAGCACCAGCCTCCACCCTTGCTGCCTCTGCTGCTGAGGTGACTGCCGCTGGGCACTCACTGATGCTTGAGTTGAGTCCTCTCCTGTGGCCCAGGATGGAGCCGCTGACTCTGAAACTCAGTGGCAAGCTCCCCGCAGCTCCTAGCACAGGGCAGTCCCCTCAGAAGACTTGCTAAGTGTGCTCCCGCACTCCAAGGCAACCCCTGGCATTTATGTAAACTTGTATTTATGTATTTATTTATTTATTTTTGAGACAGTGTCTCACTCTGTTGCCCAGGCTGGAGCACAGTGGTGTGATCCCACCTCACTGCAACCTCCACTTTCCTGGGTTCAAGTGATTCTCCTGCCTCCCAAGTAACTGGGACTACAGGTGCATGCCACCACCCCAAGCTAATTTTTGTTTTTATAGAGATGGAGTTTCACTATGTTGTCCAGGCTGGTCTTGAACTACTGAACTGAAGCCATCTGAAGCCCACCTCAGCCTCCCTAAGTGCTGGGATTACAGGCCTGAGCCACTGCGCTGGGCCCATTTTAAACTCTTAATTCTCAGCTACCTTATTATTCTTTATTGCCAATAAGAGGGGGAAAAAAAGAAAAAATGAAAAAACAGGCAGAGCGCTTAGTGCCAGGCTGTCGGCAGGTATTTTCACATTAAACATTGGTCTCCTCAGCCAAAACTCACAATCCAGTAAGACAGGCATTTTAGCTGAACATTCTCATCCAACCCTAGGGTTATGCACTGGATTGTGTCCCAGAAAATTCACAAATTGAAGCTCGAATCCCCAATGTTACTATATTTGGGGATGGGGCCCTAAGGAGGTAATTAAGGTTGAAAGAGGTCCTGAGAGTAGGACCCTAATCCAATAGGATTGGTGTCCTTATAAACGGGAAGAAAAGAGCTCTCTCTTTCTCTCTCTTTCTCGCTGTGTGTGCACAGAGGAAAGGCCACATAAGGACACAGCAAGAAGGTGGCCGATTACAAGCCAGGAAGAGAGTCCTCACCAGAAACTGAATTCTTCAGCACCTTGATACTGGACTTCTAGCCTCCCTCCAGAATAGTGAGAAAATGAGTATCTGTTGTTGAAGCCACCTAACATGTAGTATGTTGTTACAACAGCCTGAGAAGACTAATACCTAGAGACCCAAATGTAAAGCCTTCTGGGAACCCAAGCTGATAAGTCACTGAAGCATTCCTGGCTCTGAGCAGGTTTGTTACCCAGGGTCACTGCTACTTCTAGGTTTCTTGGGACCCAGGGCCCACTGGAGTTATAGTCCCATTCTTTTTTGTTGTTGTTGTTTAGACAGTCTCACAGTGGCGTGATCTCGGCTCACTGGAACCTCCGCCTCCCAGATTCAAGCGATTCTCCTGCCTCAGCCTCCCGAGAAGCTGGGATTACAGGTACCCGCCATCATGCCCAGCTATTTTTCATATTTTTAGTAGAGATGGGGTTTCGTATGTTGACCAGGCTGATCTCGATTCAAGTACTCAGTCAAGGTCTCAAGTGATCCACGCACCTTGGCCTCCCAAAGTGCTGGGATTACAGGCATGAGCCACTGTGCCCGGACTATAGTCCCATTCTTTTCCCTGCCTTCATCCTCTAAAACCAGGTTCCAGCTCCCCTGCTGTATTCCTGTATTTCTCCTGGTACTCACCATGTCATTCCATTGGCTCAGGAACTCATCTGCAATGCAGGGAAATTCTTCAGGAGATTGTTTTGTTGCCATTTTCCTCACGAATAATTCCCACTTTGAGAAGCTTCAGACATGACTGTAAATTTCACTTGGGGCAGGAGGGACAGGGAATGGGAGTGCTCATGCCAAGGAAAGAGGTCGCGTTTCCCCTGCTTCATCCCCCATCCTGGGGGGATAAACCTTTAAGGAGGAATCAAGAGCTCCTTTATGGAGCCCATCTGGCTCTGAGGAGGGGCTGGGGTCCTGGGCCTCAGCTGCTGCAGAGCCCCTCCTTCCCCTAGTGAGCAAACAGTTCCTGTTCCCAGGGAGTCCACCTCAGCCTCAGGGCCTCATCCGAGCAACTAATAAATTAGCCTAGGATTGGAGAGAGGGCCTTTCTTTTCTTTTCTTTCTTTCTTTTTTTTTTTTTTTTTGACGGAGTCTCGCTGTGTCGCCCAGGCTGGAGTGCGGCGGAGCAATCTTGGCTCACTGCAAAGCTTGCCCTCCTGGGTTCACGCCATTCCCCTGCCTCAGCCTCCCAAGTAGCTGGGACTACAGGCGCCCGCCACTGCGACCGGCTAATTTTTTTGTATTTGTAGCAGAGAGGGCTTTTCAAGGCAACAGAACCAGCATAGACTTCAGTGAAAACGACATAGATTTTGGAGTCAGATTAACAAGGCTGTGATTTTTGGCTGTGAGCCTTTCTGGGGGATCTTAAACCAGGCACTGTCATCTCTGAACTGCAGTGTTCTCATATGCCAAATAGGAAAAGTGATCCTGGCTTTGCAGGGTTGTAATGAAGATTTCCATTGTTTATGGAAATAGACATGCACCTCATTCACTCTCTTCTTCCTGAGTCAGTCTTGCTAATACATCTGAACTGTAATTCCCTTTCTGAATTTTGGGATGGCGTAGGATGGGGGGAATGGTGAAAGAGTGGTAGCCTTTTAAAAAATCTGATTTGGACCAGGCGCCATAGCTCACACCTCTAATCCCATTGTGGGAGTCTGAGGCAGGAGGATTTCTTGAAGCAAGGAGTTCAAGACCAGCCTCGGCAACAAAGCGAGACTGTTCCTACAAAAAAAAAAAAAAAAAATTATTTTAATTAGCCAGGTGTGGTAGGCTGAGGCAGGAAGATCACTTAAGCCCAGGAGTTCAAGGCTGCAGTGAGCCATGATTGTGCCACTGTATTCCAGGCTTGGTGACAGAGCAAGACCTGTCTCAAATAAAATAAATAAAATAAAATAAAATAAAATAAAAAGTCTGATTTATCCTTTGTTGTTGTTCAAGAAGTATGCTCTCAGAAAAAGCAGACTAACCATGATTGCTGCCCAAGCACATGTTTAGAAAGGCAAATCCACCCTCCAAATGATACATTAGTGCGCAATCATTCAAAGACTAAATGTTGGTGACTTTGGCAGTGGGGATTTTTTTGAGTGTATGCATGCATGAATGAATGAAAGGCCTTCCTAAGGTCTGGCTTGGAGGCATTTACTGGGCCTTGGGGGCATTCTCAGCTCTCCTTGGATTACCCACTCTCCCTTCCCTTTGGGGTGCTTTGGAGAGAGACTCCAAGGTACTGAGACCAGCATCTTGGGAACTGCAGGACATGCCTTGCAAAGACAGATACTTTCTGGGAGTCATTTTTCTGCCTGTTCTGCAGACACTTGGTGATGCCACTTGGGGTATGTTATGCCCTGCAGTGGAGACAGTCTGCTAGCTAGACCCACATCCTGCCCCCCTACCTTATTTTGCTATTGTGAAACCAAAGGGCTAGCCCAGTGGGGGACAGGGGGGAGCAAAAGAACACAATAAGGTCACAGGGCCCTGCTCTAAGTGTGTCCCCGTGTGCATGCCATAGGGGTTGGGGGCCAGAGACAAGATCCCCCTGGTGCTGAGGAAACAGCAATGGATTTAGAGCCCTGGAGACTGGCATTTCAGTCCTACCTCCTTACTGGCTATGTAAGTTTGGGCAACTAGTTTACCTTCAGAAGCCCTGTTGCTTCACATGTAATATGCAAGTGCTAACAAAGCCATCTCAGGGCTGGTGTGAGGAATAAATTTAACATTTATTTATTATTCACTTTAACCGTGAATGCAAAAGGGCTTAGTTGAAGAGTAAAGTAATAAAAACTTATTGTGGTTGACTTTGGCTGTAAGTCAGATGATTGGTGTGTTTTACTATATTATTGTCCATCAATATTCAGTGTCCTTCCCCGGAGTCAGGCTTGGTCATATGACTTGCCAAATGTAAGCAGAAGTACCCCATCAGTTCCAAGGGGAAGTTTAAAAGCTTTTATTAGCAGTTCCCCAGCTCTCTTTCCTTTGCCCTAGGGATGGATAGAGCATGTGTGAAAATGGGGCCCTGGGGAGTTGGGGACCGGAGTGATTAGAAAGAGCACAGCTCCCTGGCTACTGCGTGATGGGCCCCTTACACCAGCTGGTTTAGGCCACTGGGATTTGGGGGTTGTTACTGCAGCAAAACCTAGCCTGGCATCACCACACAGATAGGTGCCGTTTCTTTATGCAGTTTAATAGAAAAACAACAAAACAAAACACGCACAAAGAAAACACATAGAAAAAAATAGCAAACACAACACAGGCTTGGGGAGATGGCAGGTGAGCCTGAGCTGGGTGCTACTTGGTGCTGCTCTTTGGAAGGGGCCGGTAGACCCCGACCACCACAGCGTGGTCCCTCTCATAGGGCTCCAGGGTCAGCTGCTCTTGGGGCTTCAAGTTCTCCTGCTGCAACTTCCTCACCTCAGAAGCAAACACAGCCTCGGCAGATGCGGTGGAGTCGATGCAGTTGGCCTTGATGGAGATGAGAAAGTGGCCCCCGTTGCGCAGGAAGGTGTGGGCGTTCAGGGCCACGATGCGGGACTGGTCGGGCTGGGCCACGTCGGCGAAGATCACGTCCACCATCCCGATGAGCATGCGGTACTTGAGCGGGTGCCGCGCGTCCTCCAGGACAGGGATGATGTTGGTGCGCTTCTTGGCCACGTTGACCAGATCGCGGCCGGCGCGGTGGGAGAACTCGACGGCGTAGACCAGGCCGTCTGGACCAATGATGTCGGAGACGTGGGAGACAGTGGTGCCCGACGCGGCGCCTAGGTACAGCACCTTGGACTTGGGCTTGATGTGGATCTGGTCCACCCCGCCCAGGATGGCCGCGGCCAGCTTGGAGCGGAATGGGTTCCACGTGCGGTACTCCTGCTTCACGCCGCCCTCGGTCACCGTGACGCGCCTCTCGCCGTACACCGACTGGCCCGGCACCATGTTCAGCGTGACCAGCGCGTCCTCCGCCCCGCGGTAGATGAAGACGCCCTCGTGCCGGTGCGGCTCCACCGACACCACCATGGCGCCCTTCCTGCGACGGC